TCTGTAAAATAGAATTAAACATATGCATACAAGTATATATATATTTATAGTTATTTTAGGTGTACTTCTGAGTTCTCACAAATGTATAGTAATACTATGATCAAAAGATGGAAAATATTTTATCATGTCAAAAGACCACTTCCTTTGGTACCCCTTAAAATGAAACACTTCCATTACAAGTTGCCACTCCAAAAAGAAAAGGAAAATATTAAATTCCTATGTCCTTTATAAAAACTTACAGTGACTACTTTTGTTCCCCACTCTTTCACAACACGTGCTAGAAATAAACATACAAAAATAAAACCTGAAAATAGGAAAATGGGGTACAGGGTCTGCTAGGGATGGCCAAAAAGACTCCCAGGCACCCTTGCAATACAAAGATATTGAAAATTTATCCTTTTTTACTAAATTACTGAAAATAATTCCCTCCTTCTACTGCTCACACGAATTATTTCTTGGGTGACTGCTCTAAACACCCACAGCTCTCTGTGGTGTTTCCAGTGCTGAGTCGCAGGAGACTTCAAAGGACAAACTCAGGGTGGGCGGGAACAATGCAGATGAGCACAGGTGCTTCCCCAACGGGGGGGGGGCTCCATAATGTGATGGGCTCCACTCTGTGTCCCTCAGTGTGTACAGCAGCAAAGTGTAAATGCCAAAATACTACACCACTTAAAAATTTAAAAGTAAGTGGAAATCCTCTCAAATGGAGCTAACCGCAAAAAGACATCACAGCTATCTGTGGCCCAAATCATTAGCACGTGTCAAGTCCCAGATAACAATGTCTAACATATATTCTATAGATAACTTAGCAATTTCAAAAATGAAGACAAATGATGTCTAGATCTGTGTTTCCTGTTAATCACAGAAATGCAGGATTTTCTGCATTGCTGGGCTCTTACTTCCACACCCAAGCAGTTCCTAAAAGTGTTTAAGATGTGTTATGTGCAAGAAAATTCAAGTGATCGATAATGACTTCATCCCTCACTGAGGCTCCTATCATCATAGCAGATATATACACACTCCAGCCTCAGTATTATCAGCTCACATTACTTTTTTTACATTTCCTCACAACTTTTATTTTCATCTTATAAACCAAAGCATTACCATTTGTTAGTGAACTCTCTTCCCCCCCCCAAAAAAAATATAGGCACCAGGCCTGCAGGAACTTGTTTTATGCCCACATCCAAACGCTGCAGTGCCTTGATTATTTCTGCTAAATTGGGTACAATGACTCTGAAAGGCACAGCAATGAGAAACGTTTAAACATTAGCACCAAGAGTATGACCTCTCCCTCAGAGTCAGCCTGGCAGCTGAGCTTGGGGAAGCTCCAGGGGTGAAGCTGCCAGAAACTAATCTCTTCAAAACTTAAGACACTCACAAAATTCTTGATATCTGTGTGGCAAAAGCTGTTGAATGCCCACCACCTCAGACCACTGCCAGGCTCCTTGATTAGCTTCTCGGGGAGTTTCTGAAGTGACATGCATCAGTCCTACACTCCTCTGTGATCACCCACAGAGAATGAGCCCTTTGACCAAATGGCACTGCTCTGAAGAAGATCTGACTGAGCGCCGGCAGCTGCTTTGTCACAAAGAAGGAAATATGGAATGCCTACACTGAGCTAAATGACCCCATAAAGCAGCGGCAGCAGCAGCTTTTTGAAAAACCAGCTAAGGCCAGCGATGATGAGGCCACATTCACAAATGAGACCTTCCGCACTGCCCTGGACTCCGGCTGCCTCCAACAGCTGGCTCGCACCCCGGCATGGGCAAGTCACTGCTACTCTCAGACTCCAAAAACATCAAGGAAGTGCTTGTTTCCTGCCATGAAACTTGAAGATACGAAGGACAATGTAGCAACTGCTGATACACTGGAGAGCACATCAGCAGCCACTTCTGTCTAGGAAATAACAATTGCAAGTCATGTAACTCAGGCATCTTTGCACTTCGGCAAATGGTCGAGGACTCAAGGGAATTCTTTTATGTTGTTGTCCACGTCACTGTGTAGCTCAGTCACCCGAGAGAAAAGGAATTTAGAATTCCTCTTTTACACCCCGTCACCAAAGAAATTGTTTGTCTCTTTAAAAAAAAAAAAAAAGTACAGTCTCTAAGTAAAAAAGCCCTAATTTTACAAGTGCTCCTTCCTCCCTTGCCAGGTTTGTTCCCTCACAGTTAATCTAAACTCAGGGGCTTCAGCTGAGTCAGAAAGGTGATACTAAATGCGTTGTACAGCATCCCAGGCAGTGCATTTGTAATTTTTCACTGAGGTGCTCTATGGTAAATGGTGTCCGATACACTGTAGAAAACACACCGATACTTACTAACTAGGAAAGGCAAGGGCCGCAGCAGAGGCAATGGGCCGGGCCCTCCTCATAAGGCCAGTCTCATCCTGCTGAAAAGAGAAATGGCGCACACCTTCATCAAGGTGACCATGACACTCCAGGGTATTTATAAGGGGACTTCGTATCCCTGTCTCCAAAGGTGGTAAAGGGTACGTTTCCAAATCATAACCAATATTCCCCTCTTCTTACTAATATGACTGACTGAGGCTTCTTACAAATGAGCTTTAGCTCCACCACATTGTTTTTGCTGCTAGAAAATGATGACTGCTAATGGCAGAACAAAGTTCACCTCCTCACAGCAGTCAATACAGAAAAAGGTCTGGCCTCCTCGAAAAGCAGTCAAATCATCTAAGGCAAGCCTACATCCTACTAAAAGCCCCTTTAAATGCCCTGACATTTTTGTACCTCACAGTCCTTGATGCTTTGTGGTCATTCTTATTAGAATTCATTATATCCCTTTTTGATGAGAGGTGTGATCGTGCAGGTCACAGGCAAAAAAAAGAAGAAATAATCTGAGAAAACCATGATTTACATTTTTGGCATTAAGAATAAGTCAGTTTTATGACAGAACTGTATCATGAAAAATTAAAATATAAAAATTGCCTGAGGGAAAAAAAACCCTGAAATTACATGCACATAATGTTGAATAACACTAATGGATAATCATTAAATTTAAAAAATTGCAATGTGTACCTGAAAATTCACAATTATAATGAGACATTTTAATATATACTCAGGAAATAAAAAAACAAAATGTTAGCATTTCATATCTTAAAAAGTATTTCTATGAAGCAACTGCGTATTAGTTTGAAAAAATAGGCACGTGGTTTTAATCACACACAGTCACACGTGACTGAAGATGTCCTGAGGGGTTCCATGCAGCTACAAGTAATCGTAAACACCCACAGCCTCCTGACCGGAGGGAGGTGCTGACTGTCACGTGGAAGCGCCGGGGCAAGGCAGCCACCGCACACGCAGCAGAGAAACACCACCCCTCATTGCTTTCTGGTGACACCACTGCAGACAACGTGGGCCATCAGGAAAACACACTCACCAGCACTGCTGACAGCAGAAGGTGTTTCCTATACAAACTTATGCTGATATAACCCAGAGAAGAAGAAAATCAAAGAATATTCCCAAGCATAAAAGTCTGAATCAGTTCCCCAGTGGACACAAGAGAGCTTGCAGAAAAATCCAAACTCTGATGGATCTTTGATATGCAATGTGTGAAAACATCCATGAAAACCTACACCTAAAAAAATGGAAATCAAACAAAATGGTGGTGGCTGCAAGGATACTCTTGACTGGAAGTGCAAAGAATAAAAAAAAAAAATGAGGCAGAAGACAGTGTCTTCAAACCCCTCAAGTACCTCTCCCGGTGTGGTGGCTATACAATCTAATGCCTAAAAGCCCCTTTACCTTCCAAAAGTCCCTTCTGCCTTCCAAATCTCACACTGGGAGCTATTGGTAATTCCTAATATGGAACCACAAAGGGTATAGATTCTGAAAACTCAAGTGTCTAACACTATCCACAGAGGTAATGTTTTCAACTCCATTTTTTTTATTATAGATCTCCTTAAACAAAAATCTATTCACCAAATGCAAGTTACAAGAAAAAACATGAGCAAAGGCTGAAACATAAAAATAATTCATATGAAACTAAAATCTTTCATAAAACTGACATTCTTAAAAATTTCTTCAAAGTGTTTACTAGAATGGAAAAAGTATCTAATACCTATCACTCCATGAAAAGTGTTTTGTCAGTAAGAAAGTGAGGATATATATAATGGAACAGAAATACCCAGAACTGTCACAAAACCAGTGGGAAAACCCCAACAAATACTAAACTGCCATTTTCAACGGCCTCTTAACATGAAACAAATAAAACATCATAAAAATTAAACCTAATTGCATATTAGAAATAAACTTGAATTCATCCATGGACCTAACAGGTTTCAAAATGTAAAGAGACAATATTAACTGATGATGAAAACTTATTGCCTATTAATGTTATATAACTATTGCAAGACAAATTGCAGAATAACTTCATCTCATTATTCATTTCTAAAAGTAACTGATGCTTAAACAATGAATTTGAAATGCATAGGTCCACTTTTATGCAGAATGTAAACTGTGGTCCTGCGCAGTTTCAAACTGGGCTATTCAAGAGTCAACTGGATTTTCGATCTTCAGTTTAGTGTTCATTTGTGCAGAAAGCTGGCTTAGGTTACACAGAAATTTTCAACTGTGTGGAAAATAGTAGTTTCCTCTAACTCCTGAGTTTTTCAAGGATCTACTGTAGTAAAAATCTCATGTGCCATTATGCACTTAAAGAAACCTGGTGAACACAACTTATTTACTATTTTAATAACAACTCTTTAATCTTGAAAGTTTTGTAGAATAGCCCTGGCCAAATCGCTCAGTTGGTTAGAGCATCGTTCTTGATACACTAGGGTTGTGGGTTCGATCCCCAGTCAGGGCACACACACACAGAGCAACCAATGAATGAATAAATAAGTGGAACACCAAAATGATGTTTCTCTCTCTCCCCCTAGTTGTCTCTAAAATCAATTTTAAAAATAATTTTTTTAACAATAAAGTTTTCTAGAACACGGTAACTAAATTAATTTATATCAATCCTTTTTATGTTTCCATTTTTTAAATTTATTTTCAGTGGTTTTACAAGTAAGGATGTGGGCTAACTAAAGTCTCCCCACTATTTGCATTCAAGAGGTTTTATCCAGTGAGTCCTTTCATGCCTTCGGAAGGAATAGGGATGACTGAAGTCTTTCCCACATTCTCCACATTTATATGGTTTTTCTGTAGTATGCACTCTCATCATGTGTATTCGAAAAATTTTGTTACAAATGAAGGCTTTTCCACATTCCTTACATTCATAGGGTTTTTCTCCAGTATGAGTCCTTTCGTGTCTTTGTAAGGAACTGTGATCTCTGTAGGCTTTTCCACACTGTTTACATTCATAGGGTTTCTCTCCAGTGTGAGTTCTTTCATGTCTTTGATATAAACTAAGGCAAGTGAATGCTTTCCCACATTCCTTGCATTGATAAGGTGTATTTCCAGTGTGCATTTTCATGTGTCTTTGAATGGTGGTGCGACAAATGAAGGCTTTACCACAGTGTTTACATTCATAGGGTTTCTCTCCTGTGTGAGTCCTTTCATGTGTTTGTAAGGAACGATAATATCTGAAGGCTTTCCCACACTCCTTACATTTATAGGGTTTTTCTGCAGTGTGGGTTCTTTCATGTATTCGAAGATTACTAGGTGTGCTGAATACCTTACTACATTTTTCACATTCATAGGGTTTCTCTCCAGTGTGAGATTTTTTATGTATTTTTAAGAAACTGTTGCATCTGAATGCATTTCCACATTCCTTACATTCATAGGGTTTCTCTCCTGTGTGTATCCTTTCATGTATTTGTAAGGAACTATAGTATCTCAAGGCCTTTCCACACTGCTTACATTCATAGGGTTTCTCTCCTGTGTGAGTCCTTTCATGTGTTTGTAAGGAACTGTAAAATCTGAAAGCTTTTCCACATTCCTTACATTCATAAGGTTTCTCCGCATTGTGAATTCTTTCATGTTTTCGAAGACAACTGGGAGCACTGAATGATTTATTACATTTTTTACACTCATATGGTTTCTCTCCAGTGTGAGACCTTTCATGTATTTGTAAGGAACTGTAATATCTGAAGGCTTTCCCACATTCCTTACATTCATAGGGTTTCTCTCCTGTGTGAGTCATTTCATGGGGTTGTAAGGAACTATATGACCTGAAGGCCTTTCCACACTCTTTACATTCATAGGGTTTCTCTTCGGTGTGAGTTCTTTCATGTATTTGAAGATGACTGGGATACCTGAATGTTTTACTACATTTTTTACATTTATAGGGTTTCTCTCCCGGATGATTTCTTTCATGTCTTTGAAAACTTTTATAATATCGGAAGACTTTCCCACAGAGTTTACACTGATAGGGCTTCTCTCCAGTGTGGGCTCTCTCACATGTTTGAAGAGAAGTTGAAGAACTAAAAGTTTTCGCACACACCTTACATCTATAAGGAGCATCTGCAGTGTGTGTGATAATGTGTCTTTCAGGGCTTTTGAGCCACATGAAGGCTTTTCCACATTCCTCACATTTATGTGATTCTTCTCCACTGTGATATCTCTCATGTTTTTCAAAAAACTGAGTGTAAGTGAAAACTTTCCCACATACAGTACATTTACATGGCTTCTCTTCATATTTCTGATACCCAGACGGCCTGTGACGTGTGATGTCCCCATTATGGGATGACTGATGCCTGAAGACTTGCCCACACACACTGTATTCCCAGGGTTTTCCTGCAGGAAGAGTTTTCTGCAGACTGAGACTTGGAATAAGGCTGAAGTTTTGTCCACACTGGCTACCCTTCCTCCCTTTGCAGAGTCTCTCTACCATTTGACTCCTGTAAAAAACAAGAAGCACATTATTAATTTCTTTGTTAATATTTTATGTTTATTAGTAGAATATCTGAACTACCTTTTTATGATTTACTGCAAAAGATAGGTTTACTCTCTTATCCAATTGCTGGGCAGTGAATACACTAAAAGCTCTGGAAGACAACTTCAGCCTTGCTATTATCAAAACAGCAACTGTCGTGTATAGACTTCATTAATGCTATTTCCACGTAAACCATTTCACAAACCCTGGACATCTATGTCATATAGATAAAAGTAAGGTGGTGGAAAGGTTTTGAGAAGTAGTTAATTTGAAGCAGGGTAGTTTGGGTTGATTCTTTTAAAAATTTCACAGCAGAACATGTTTCTCACCTGAGACACTGCTCTCTATTATGAGTGTGACTCACCTACATTTTCTCTCCTGGTTTTTGTACGGATCTTCAATGTCATGATCTTCCCTTTTTTTCCCTAAAATGCAGACCAAGAAATATGATTCCAAAGTATTAGAAATTATAGAAAAACTATCATATTCTAGTTCTATGATGAGCTGTGACTCTACCTAGTTTATTTACCAGTGTCCTCTATTCCTACATTACAAGTTAGCACAATACTGATAGGTAAGAAACACCTGTCCTTCAGATGAGGAAGTGACAGTAACTTGTCATCCTTACCTATGGAGGCCAGGTTCCTGAAGGTTTCCTGCATCACATCTCTATAGAGTTTCTTCTGCAAAGAATCCAGTAAAGCCCACTCCTCCAGACTGAAGTTCACAGCCACATCCTCAAATGTCACTGAGTCCTAAAATACCACCAATATGTGTACAGTACAATTTATGAGACAGATAGCACTGGGCATCTAGACTCCATTTACTGGCAGGTTACATATGATTCTCTCATCCGCAAACATTTAATCTATGACTTGATCATTAAAAACTTACTCTCTGTCCACAATTACTTCCTTATAAATTTGACACCATCATGAACACATGGAAATTATATACACGTTTTTACTGTGATGACATATTTTATGTATTTCCTCTACTGGCAGGATCAGAGCATGTTGGGAATGGAAAGAAGTGCTACAGAACTGAGAAAGATACTGGGGTGGGAAAAGCAGGTTTACAGTTATGAGTACACGGACCATAGAGTAAATAAAGCTATTGTGATCATCATAACCTGCATGTCTTTTTCCATACAAATAACTGTAAACCTACTTTTGCCCACCTTGTATTATCATTTGTACGATGACCAATTCCTTGGTAAAAAAAGTTTTTAATCTTTTTTTTTCTATTACTCACCATCTACATGATGCAGAGGGTTATTAGATCTGCACAAGGTTACGGTAAACACATACATACTGAATACTAAAAGCCCTTTGTTCTATTGCCATTGCCAAACATGAGTCCAGAAGGCCTCTGACAAGGCCAGTTTTAGCAAGGTCCAGGGAGCCACATCATCTTAACAGTCTCCAGGCCATTAAAAGTCATCATCTGCAGCGGTCTGAATAATATTCATACAAACCAGCACTGCTTTTTTCTTATAAAATATTGATTACAGACTCAGCTCTTCCTTTCTTTCTCTGTCCACTATGATTGCCTGGAAAGTTATGGTCTGGTGCCACTTATCTATGGGGATACATTCTGAGATATGTATTGTTTGGACAATTTCATCTTTGTGGGAACACACAAAATGTACAAACCTACGTGTATGGTCTACCAAACACCTAGGCTATGTGATGCAGCAGATTGTTCTTAGGCTACAAACCTGTACAGCATGTTGCTATACTGAATACCATAGGCAATTGTAACACAAGGGTATTATTTGGGTGCCTAGGCAATGCCTTCCCTTATTCTGTCATTTCCAAACTCCCCTGTGGAGTAAAGGAGCATGACAGCTCCGCCCCTGAGCATGGGATCCCTCAGCTAATGACAGCACACACTACCTGCAAAGTGTGACAGGGTTTATTACATCCACAGCTGAGGTCTTGGGGAAGTAAGGCAAGCCCCTCAGGAAAGGATAAGATTCTTTAGCAAAGGTGCATGGACTTGTTTCATGAGGTTAGGCGATGGGTGGGGTGAGAGCTCACACACAAGGGCAGGGGCTTGCATGGATTCAATCTCTTGCTACAGCAAAGGAGAAAGCCCTCAGGCTTTCCCATCACCTCCTACAGATAGCGCACAAGGGGAAGAGGAAAGGTGGGGCTTTAAAGCTGTCGGTAGTCAATGATGAAAAAGTGGGAGTCAGAGACTTCCAGTGTCTGGCTTGGCACTGAACTATCTTAGAAGCTGTTATTTCCAACTTTACAATAAAAAAGCAAAAAAACTTGAACTTCTCTTTTTAAATCCATCAGATAATTTAAATCAGGACTCACTGTCCCCAATATTAGAAAAAATAAAATAAACACAATACTTTGAAATATGCCCCAAATATTATGTTTTTAACATTACACTGTACTAAAATACATATATATCTCATTTAAGTCTAATGCAAAGAAAAAATATCTATGAACCTTAAGTACTTTCTTTAAACAGAAAACTCAAATCCATGTCACAGGAGTACATAAAGAAAAAGACAGATAAGAAACAGGACAAATCTGTGAAGTAACAATCAGTGAGACTGTCCTAAAAATAATGATAAATAACACACTAAAAATGAAAACAAAAGTGTACAACTAATTATATCATATTCAATGTAGACAAAAAACAAAGACAGAAATAACATATTGAAACAAAGATTAGAATTAAATTATAGATCCTATTGGAAATCATACAAGGAAAAGAGTATAAAATTTAAAGTTTTAAGAGAAAAACACTACTCTCCTATGTCAATCAAAATTATCCTTCAAAACATAAAAAATAAAACTTTCTTAGATAAAAACAAGAAAATGTGTCAAAATATGTGACTACACATATTTTGAATGAAACATTCAAAAATTCATTGGAAAGAATGTAAATGTTGAAGGTGGCAAATTAGAAAAGAAATAAATGGAGGTAAAATATCTTCAGTGTTTCTTACCATAATTAATATAACAGATGCCATTTTGTTTAAAATAACATAACCAGCAATGTATTTGACAATTATATGCTAACAAATACGTGCAATAAGTAACAGTAGTGTGAAAAAAAACAGCAGGGGAAGCTTTGAAGAGAGTGGTCTGAGGCACCTGCATAGTCAGCAAAGCAGTACAGTGTGACTTGACAGAAAAGGTGAGTGAGTTGTAAACTTATCTTCAAAACTCAATGGCAAGCACCAAAAAAGTTTTAAAATATGTGTAATTGATTGCTACAGGGTAGAAAATAAAAGTATGAGGGGAAAAATGCTCAATTAAAGACAAAGAAGGCAGAAAAAGGAGGGAGACAAAAAAAACTAAATAAGGACAACAAATAGAAACAGTGAAACTAGTCATCTGCACACACCCAGGCCCAGGAGAGGGAGCCACATGCTGTGGATTCTGACAGCTCTAAACAGGTTGCCCAGGGCCAGTCACAGGCAGGGTTCCACTTAGGGCTGCACCAGAGTCTTGCAGATCTACCTAATACATAGAAACAAACTCAAAGAGGCAGCCAAAATGAGAAAACAAAGAAACAGTCCCCAAAGAATGAACAAGAGAATTTTCCAGAATAAGAACTACATGAAATAGAGGCAAGCAATCCATCAAATAGTTTAGAGCAATGATTATAAAGATACTTAACAGCACAAAAAAAAGACATAGGAACCGTAAAAAAGGACCAGTCAGAAATAAAGAACACAATATCTGAAATAAAATAATACACTGGAAGGAATAAACGGTAGGTTAGATAAAGGAGATCACATCAGTGATTTGGAAGACAAAGTAGAAAAAAAAACATGCAGAGAAGCAAAACAGAAAAAAAGAATGTAAAAAATGACGAGAATTTAAGAAACCTCTGGGACAACTTGAAGTGTAACAACATCCACATCATGGGAATACAAAGAAAAGAGAGTGAGAAAGGGATCAGGAACCCATCTGAAGAAATAATGACTGAAAAGTTCCCTAATCTGGTGAAGGAAAAAGACACAAGTCCAGGAAGCTCACAGAGTCCCAAACAAGTTGGAACCAAAGAGGCCTATTCCCAGACACATAAAGTGGCAAGGTTTAAGACAAGGAAAGAACCCTAAAAGCAGCAAGTGAAAAGCAGGAAGTTATCTACAAGGGAACACCAATTAGACTGTCATCTGATTTCTCAACAGAAACATTTCAGGCCAGAAGCGAGTGGCGTGAAATATTCAAGAGAGGAAAAGCAGGAAGAACCTACAACCAAGGCTACTTTACCCAGCAAAGCTATCATTTAAAATTGAAGGAGAAATAAGGAGCTTCCCAGACAAGAAAAAGCTAAAGGAATATGTTAACACCGAACCAGTACTGAAATACTGAAATAAATGTTAAAGAGCTTGCTTTAAGAAAAAAAAAAAAAGAGGAAAACAGTCTAACAATAAAATGACACTAAATACACATCTATCAATAATCAATCACCTTAAATGTAAGTGTGGTTTAAATGCTTCAACCAAAAGACACAGGGTAGCTGAGTGGGTAAGAAAACAAGACCCATATACATGCTGTATCCAAGAGACCCACCTGAGATCAAAAGATATACCATATTTTTAGGACTATAAGGCGCACTGGACCATAAGACACACCTAGGTTTTAAAGGAGAAAAATAGGAAAAAAATTTTAAAGCAAAAACTGTGGTAAAATATTTAATGACATACATAACACAATATTTCACCAATGTAAATGTAAACTACATTTACTAGCCAGGTAAGCTACATTTGGGCTATAAGATGCACCCCCATTTTCCTCCCAAATTTGGGGGGTGTGTCTCATAGTCTGAAAAATGTAGTGCGCAGAAGAGGGATGGGAAATGTATCTGAGGAAATGATGGCCAAGAAATTCCCTAACCTGGTGAAGGAAACAGACATCCAAGTCAAAGAGCACATAGGGTTCCAAACAAGATGAACTCAAAGAAACCCAAAAGACACATAATTAAAATGGCAAAAGATAAAGAAAGAATCTTAAAAAGTAACAAGAGAAAAACAGTTATGTACAAGGGTGCTCCCATAAGACTAAGAGTTGATTTTTCAACAAAAACTTTGCAGGCCAGAAGAGAATGATGTAATATAATCAAAGTAATAACAGGGAAACCTACAACAAACAATACTCTACCCAGCAAGATTATTATTCAGATTAAAGGAAATAAAATTTCCCAGACAAGCAAAAACTGATGGAGTTCATCACCACTAAATCAGCACCAAAAGAAATGCTAAATGGACTTCTATAAGCAAAGAATAAAAGAACAGAACTAAAAATAAGATTTTAAAAACTCAATGGTAAAGGCAAGCATTTAGTAAAAGTGGTAAATAAAGTAATTATAAAGCTAGTACGAAAGTTAAGAGACAACAGTAGTAAAATCATATGTATCTGGAATAAATTAAGGTATATACACAAAAATGTGAAATATAATGTCAAAAACATAAAGTATGTGGGGAGCGGGGAATGAGTAAAAAATGTAGTATTTTTAAAATATTTTGAACTTAAGCAACTATTACCTTACAAGAGACTACTAAACATAGGATATGAGGGTCATGGTAACCACAAACCAAAAACCTGTAACAGGGTCACACACACATAAAAAGAGAAAGGCATCCAAACATAACACTAATGAAAGTCATCAATGCACAAGGAGAAAAAGGCAAGAGAAGGAAAAAGGAATAGAGAATTACAAAAACAATTAGAAAGAATTAATAAAATGGCAATTAAGTACATATCCATCAAAAATTACTTTAAATATGAATTCTCCAATTCAGTAAAATGAATAATAAAAACAAGAGCCACACATATCTGCTTACAAAGAATTATTTCAGCTCTAAAGACATACACAAACTGAAGTGGAAGAGAAGAAAAAAGATATTTCAGCCCTGTGCTGCAAAGGGCAGGTTCCGCGGGTGATCAGGCCTGAGAGAGAATACATAAAATCCTGTGAGTCCTGCTTTACTAAGAATGCTCTCAATTAAACGATAAGGGTCCAAGCAAGAAGTGAGTTTGTTCCCCAAAGTTTTATGGCTCTTTAGCTATCTGACCCTGACTCAGAATAGGACCTCAGAGTTCTTTGTATGTTATCTATTGTTTGATCCTTACTGCCTGACAATGATTAATGAGCTTTACCTGTATTCCTGTGCAAAACGAACCCAATAAAAGTCCACTGAGGAAAAGGCTCTTGGTCCTTCTCCTTTGAGAGACAGGCCACCTTTCCTCCCCAAGCAGATCATGTCTTGGTAGACTTATTTTCATCTGTGGCAGACGGGGTGGGGGGTGGGGGGATGTGGGCAGAGCCCCCTCACAATCATTATTTTAAATTAAATTTACTTTAAAAAATTATTTTACTTTTCTACACAGAATATCACTCTAAGATGTAATCTTTTAAACACTAAAAAATGTAAAATTGCAGACTATGAAAAATTCCCAAATCCCCTTCTGATAAAAAGGACAAGGGATATTATAATAGTTTGAAAACATTATATATAATATAATATAGTACATTAGGGTTTGCAATAAAGCCCTGAAACAAACTAGAAAATTCAAAGATGTTCATAAATTTTAAGTTGTTTTTTTATATCAATAAAAATAAAAATTCAACTGCTTTTATCCTCACATCCATTAAAATAGAAATTCATCTGCCTAAGGAATAGCATAGATTTTTCAAGGTCAAAGTTCTTTAGAGTCATGGACATACAAAAACTGACCTAAAAAATGGAAAAATTACCTGAGAACTTAAAAACACCCATCTCTCATCCTCAGGTTCCCTTCCATAATTAAACCTAATTCTATTTGGTTCCCCAAGTTTCTTGCCTTATTCACACAGTATCTCCCAAATTATATTTTAAAAGCCCGGATGCTAATGAAAACTAGAATCAAAGGGCTGCAATATTTAAGGGAGAAAGGAATCCAATGAAATGAAACAGCAATACGGGAATCAAGACAGATGAGCAGCTTCTTCCCTATAGTTCAGAAGGAAATGCACACGTATAAAGTTGAATATGTTTTTACTAATGGTCTTGACACCCCCTGGCTGAGATTAAAACCCCGGGGATGGGTCAGTCCCAGGGGAAGGAGGGGAGGGACACCTGAGCAGCTCAGGAGTGAACTGTGGGAGCACCTACAGCACAGGTGGCAAACACAAGGCCCACAGGCCAAATCTGGCGCTCCACTTTATTTCCACTGGGCACCAGCGCCGAGCTCTCACTTAACTGTTAAGGAGTAGTTACATTTTCAGTCCTAAAATTACATTTGGCCCTTTGAGAGCAACCGCAAGACTGATGTGGGCCCCCAGTGAAAATGAGTTTGACACCTCTGTCCTACAGTCTCCTCTCCCATATGCATGAAAGAGCTCCCTTCCCCCGTCTTTCCTTCTTGCAAGTGAGAGAACTCTCAGCCTGACTCAGCTTAACTTCTGACCCAAATGAACTCCCCAATTCATAAACCCTTTCTCAAGGACACAAAAACACCTGACCTTCAAAGACTTGCTCAATGTACACAAATTATACTCTGAATACAAACCTCAACATGAAATGTAGAAATGTCTACGCCCAAACATCAACAACTACAGAAAGGAGGGCATCCCCTCCCACCTCCACCCAAGGCACTGCACTGCTTCCCCACTTCCAGGGCGAGGAAGCTTTTCTCACGAATCTACTCCAATTCTGCTCTGCAAGGCTAAGCCTTGGAACTGGATTTTAAAACACTCCCAAAACAAACAAATCTCAGAAACTTATTACACATGCTCAGGGAGAGTGAGAGAAAAATTCTAGAAATGGAATGTAATTCTGGATTTTTTTTCTTCTGAATTCTCTTTTTGCATGTTTGGAGGTCTTCATACATCTTTAAGTTCTATTGATTAAAATACATTTTACCCTTATTAAAAACTGAGGCTTAAATAAGTCAATAAATTTTTCAAGGTAACAGACCCAGGGAAGGGGCGGTGCTGACAGGAGAGAACACCCAGGAAAGTTTCCAAAGAGGAACCTCCACCCAAAGGACTTCCCAGAGAATGCCTGCGCCCAGGGAAGATCCTGGGGGAGAGGAACAGGGATTTCATGTGTCTTCCAGGTGGTTACTATCGGCATTCCTCTCATTCAAAATATCCATACAAATGTCAATCTCTAAAAAAGGGCATTCCATTGTTCCGTACAAAAATTAAGTAAGCAATTAAAATATTGAGTCTGTTTGAAACGCAACCCGGGAACAAATAGTTGATAATGATGCTGTAATTCAGGAACGAACGGATGGCTTTGGGAACTCGAGAACTGATCTGGAAATCTGAGGATTTATTGCAAGTTTCAGTAAAAGGCAATCTGGGCGAACGAGGTCGTGGATTTGAGACCCTGCTTCCCAAACATTCAGAAAACTCATAAAAAGACGGCTTCCCCTGGGGAGAAAGACGGGACTGGGGACCCTACGGACCACAGCTCCTCCCGCGCACAAGCCCCGCAACCCAGGCACGATTTTCCCAGGTGATCCTTCCCGCGGCCATCGCACCATCTGGGGGGACGCGGGGCTGTGGGCGCAGAGCTGCCCAGAGACGCTGCGGAGGCGAAGTCGCCGCGCAGAGACTGCACGAAACCTCCACGTCCCGGTTCCCAGCCTAGCCCTCTTGCTGTGTGGTTGGAGGGGGCTGAGGGCCAGGGGAGCCCCCAGCGGATTCCGTCCGCAGACTCCAGACTCGACCAAGGGTAGGCCAGTCCTACCACAGCCGGTTCTAGCCGGTTCCAGCCAGTTCTAAGCAGGCCCTCCACCCGGTCTCCGCACCCGGCCCGCACACTCACCATTTCTGTTTCCTGGGTTTACCTGAGTCCCGCCCAAACTTCCATTACCCGTGCAAATCCCAACGCCGTAGAGCCTACAACAGTAACCAAGACCCGTTAAGTAAAATCGGAGTGCATTCCCGAGCCTGCCCTGAAGGTAGTGGAGAAGTCCACACCCAAGTGATGCCTCACCCCACCCACCTGCCTCAGCGGCACCCCTGATTGGACAGTTGCTGATGGCGTTCTCCCTGAATGACAGCCCTCTGCAGGACCCTAGACTCAGACTTGAAACAGAACTTTTACTTGGCTGTGGAGCTGACTGTATTTGCCCGGCTCTTTGGAAACACGTGGGCACAGGTGTGCACAGGGAATTCCTCATTCAGTTTCCAAATGGTGCAAGAAAGAACAGAACATAAGGATGGGGAGCCAGGCCGGGCCACACTGGAACAAGAGTGTTTATGTCCTCTGCAGATCAAGGGCTTTATGCAAGCCTGTCAGGCCATCCATGGCACTGAGACTCGTTAGAAACACCGACATTTAATATGGTTTCATGATCTATAATAACAAGTCTGGCTCCATTTCAATCTTTGATGCTTCCCAGCAATCTCTTCCTCACCTCCAGTCAGTTCTGCCTCCGAGTACTTGGCTCTGGTGGGAAGTTGGAACCCTGGGTCCCTAGCGTGGGTGCTCGGACGCTCCTCAGTCTCCCCGGGTGCGGATTGTGCTCATTACATTCTCTGATGTACATTTTATGCTGGAAGGAAACTTAAGTTTTTCCTGTGTCCCTAGAGAACTCCAACATGTAAATGACTATAATATCCCTAAGACAATTAATTCCCACTTTCACTGATAATAGAAAAAGAATAAATCATTATGTAAACTAGGTTACATATGGAAACTTTCTCCTCCCCCCTCCTCTGGCTTTACTGAGGTAAAACTGTCAAACAGAATTGTCTATATTTAAAGATCGAGGCATGATGATTTGATATGCATATACTATACTGTATACTTGAAATTTGCTAAGTGTGGATTAAGCTTTCTCACCACACATGCACACAAAGTAACTATGTGTAATGATGAATGTTTCAATCTGGAAACACTGATATGCCTAAATGATGGGACTGTGAGATTTTTAATCCATTTATTTATTTATTTGTTTATTTATTTGAACAGCTTTATGGATATATAATGCACATAGTATACAGTAAAACCCACATAAAATGTACAATACAACAGTTTTAGTATATTCCCAGGTGTGTGCAGTCATCCCCACAGTCAATTTTTCAACATTTGTCGTCTCTAAAACAAACTCCTCTACACTTTGCTATCACTCCCAACATTCCCATCTTCCTCCGGCAATCCTAGCCTTAGGATCCCCTAATCTATGGTCTGTCTCTATGTGCGACTTTGGGCTCTCAAATGAACTGAATTATATACTACATGATGTTGCAAATTACTTCTTTTCGCTCTTGAGAAAAGCCTACAAAAAATATCCCATTAATGTAAATACTTTGAGGGTACCTCCCCACCACAGGGGCCCCAGTTGATTTTCTGTTTAAAAACTGTGGTCTCTCCTCATGCATATTTTTAGCTAAATGGACTGATTTGGTCAACAGTAATTTAGAATACTAGTGGTCATTAAGGGGAACTTTTGCAAGCCCCAAACTATAGCTCTGACATTGGCAATGCTTATTTCTGAATGGAATGCCTATTTCAATAGATATTTTAAGGCTTCCAAACATCAGCATGAGTCTAAGATTACCTCTTGCAAAATAAATTTTTAAAATTAACTGACAAACACTTAAAGAAACTAATGGCCCCCAAACCTCCAGCTCCTCTCCTCCCGGCCTTTCAGTTTCTCTCTGTTGCTTTGCCCTGACTCCGCCCCCAGCACCAGCTGTTCCTCTCCCCGCCTTCTTTTCTTTCAGGCTCCACCTCCAGGGCCGTCTTGCTCTTCCTCCCAACCTCTCCCCATCCACCCCTCCTCTGCCCTTTTAATATTAAATCTTCCGAGGAACCTAACAAACTCCAACTTTCTTATGTTCTGTGAACTAAGGCCAAATATCAAGCCATACTTGAAAAATTTCCTAAAGTAACGGAACTGCCATACATTTGGGGAAGAATTTAACATATTGACTTAAACTTGCCAACTTAGGCTTCTCAGTCGTACATCAGTCCACATGCTTGTTGGTGAGGATCAAGCCACGCTCTGGATGAATGAAGCCTGAAGGTGAACTCAGGCAAAGGGATTCAGAAAAAAAAAACAAAACCCTAACTTTTGGTGAAATACCTAAGTACTTGCTGAAGAGCTCTAATGAGCAATTACAGTGCCTTTCTGAAGCCTAGTGACTGGCTTCAGAAAGTGCAGGCTTGTTCACAAAAGTGTGGTGACCCTGATAAATGTCATAGGTAAAACTAGACAGATAAATGTAAAAAAAATGAAACTAGACCACCTTCTTATGCCATGTACAATAAAATACTCAAAATGGATTAAATACTTAAATGGAATACCTGAAACCATAAAACTCCTAGAAGAAAACATAGGCAATAAACTCTTTGACATTCTTCTTAGCACTGTGTTTTTAGATATGTCTTTTCAGGCAGGGGAAATAAAAAAGATAAAGCAAATGGGACTACATCAAACTAAAGAAGCTTTTGCACAGCAAAAACCATCAACAAAATAAAAAGACAACCCACTGAATAAGGGAAGATATCCGCCAAAGATACATCCAATAAGGGGTTACTATCCAAACTATATACAACTCATACAACTTGACACATACACACATGCACACGCACTCCAATTTAAAAAATGGTCAGAGTTCCTGAATAAACACTTCTCCAAAGAGGACATACAGACGGCCCACAGACATGAAAAAATGATCAACATCACACATCATCACAGAAATGCAAATTAAAACCATAGTAAGGTATCAGCTCACATCCGTCAGAACGTCTATCATCAATAAATCAACAAACAAGTGTTGGGGAGGAGTTGGAGAAAAGGGAGCCCTCCTACTGACAGGAATGCAGATTGGCTCGAGAGAGCACGGAGAGGAGCCTGGCCAGGGGTTTTTTATTGAGAGTAGGAGCGGGCTGTGGGGAGAGTTCACACACATGGACACACGGAGGGGCTTTCATCGACTGGATCTCCTCACGGCACAGGAGGAGTGAGCAGCCAGGCTTTTTTTTTTATCACCTGCATATGTGCGAGGTGCACAGGGAAGAAGAACAGGTGAGGCTTCAAATTGTCAGCTGTCACATAATAAAGACATGTTGGTCACGGCGCGGTGCTCCTAAAATACTTATGCAGTCAGAAGTGGTCAGAGCACTAGGAGCATCTCTTGTTCTATTATTTCATCTTGGACTCAGCCCCCAACACAGAGCTCCTGAAACTCTTATAAAATCCAAAGTGGTAACAGCACGAAGTGATAATTCTGGTTGGGCTCCTGATGGCTCCCTGAGGGGGGCTGTCACCAGAAAGGCTAGTCTGTGTGGTGTGTGAGAACTTGGGCCCCTTCCCAAGCTCCAGTGCCCGCTGCCACCCTGACAGAATATGAAGAAGGCCTTCTGTATGAGTGCTCTGGGACCTGGGGAGCCTGACCACCGCCTTGATCAAGAAATGGCCAAACAGAAACTGTTCTTGAAATGAGCCAGATTGTAAATAGCTGTTCCTTTGATTTCTGAGGTCCCTTTTTATGAAGCCAGTTTCAAAGTGGCAAAGACATTAGAGTTTAAGTTTATAAATCATTGGTTCACAGCTTCCCTGCTCTGTGTGGAATATCTTAGGACAGTTGGGGCTCTGACTATGGGAAATTTAGGCAAGACCATAATTCTCATGGTTAAGAAGAAACAGTCCTATTTGTCCCTCACCTTATATTCAGAAACTCCCCTAACATTACTGGGGTTCCTTGCTTAAATCTAGTAGGATCCCAGGCATAACAGCAATTTGAGTCCTAGCATTGATTACTTGTATGAAAGTTTGTTAATACGTATATTTCAGCAGACAGCAAAATTAATGCACAACCAATGTTATACAGGCCCTCAAACCAGGCAGTACCCCTGTAACATGGAGAATTGTAATGGGGAATGGTAACCCGCCCACCCCTCTTTTGATGTTGTTTCTGTAAGTGCTAACTCTTAATATGTAGCTTGTGGATGAACAGCGCATTTGTATGAGAATCCTGGGAACTAGTTTCAAAGGATACAGACTCTGACCTTCAGGCGTCTCAGTTCTGGGAGCTTTGCTCACCTTCGACTGTGGAGCCAAGATGACCTGAAGCTGGGATGACATGGAGCCAGGATGACTAACCAGGACCACGCACACCCGACGGTCACTTGCCGCACCAGAATGGACCGTGCTCCTCTGCACGAAGAGAACTTCTCAGCCCCTCCCTTGATCTCTTTGTTCTGTTCCCCTCTCCCTCCTTGTAAAAACCTCTGCCTGCCCTGAGATGTTTAGAGTGAGTCCCCCATCTTCCCAAAGTGATGGGCTTTGTGACATGAGACCCCATCTTCCAGGTGGCCGGCACCTGAAAATAAGCCACCCTCCTTTACATCAGCACCTGCCTCTCAAGTATCAGCTTTCGTCGTGGTGGGCAGCCAGCCCTACTTTCAGTTACATGCCCTTTCATCTTTTTCCTGATACAAGTTTTTTTAGTATGCTGTGAATTTCTACTTGGTGAAACTACAAATCTTAGTTTTACTATAGTTTACTTTTGTTCCTTCCCTCCTGATCTTTTCTGTTTGATGGTTATTGTTCTTTTATTGTTTTCTAATCACTGGAGTTACTTCTGGGAAGGAGGTGTCCTCTCTACCCTGATATTTATAACTTTTTTCCTCCAGAGGACCTCAAATCAGTGCCACCAGGTTAGGAGCCTCCTCGTGAAAACTGGTTGCTTTATGGAATTTAAGGACCTAGGCTGAAACCAGGTTTGTGATCCCTGGGCTGCACCACAGTGAGGCCCCGGCTCAGGATCCGTGTTGCAGCAGATGCAGGGGCAGCAGCAGCAGCAGCAGCAGCAGCAGAGCTGCTTAAGGTCCTGGGAGCCCTTTGGCATCCTAGCAGGCTGGGCTCAGCACGCCACCTGCTGGCTGCCTTTCCGCCCCGCTTCTCTCTCTCATTCTAAACAGCTGCTCTTTGG